GCTTTGGCGGCTGCTGCTTCAGCTGCTGCGGTTGCTGCTGGGGTTGCTGCTGCAGCTTTGGCGGATGCTGCTTCAGCTGCTGCGGTTGCTGGTGCCGCTGCTGCGATTCTTGCTGCTGTTTCTGCTGCGCGGGGCGTTCCTGCTGCTGCTCCGCAATTTCGCTTTGCTTTTGCTGCTGCTGTTGCTGCTGCTTTTGTTGCTGCTTTTGCTGCTGGTCTTGCTGCTGGTCTTGCTGCTGCTTTTGCTGCTGCTGTTTCTGTTGCTGTTGTTTCTGTTGCTGCTTGATCGGCTGCTGTTTCTGCTGCATGTTCTGTTTTTGCTGCTGCTGCTGCTGCTTTTGCTGCCTTCTTTTTTGTCTTCTTGCTTCCCGTTCTTGTCTCTTTTTTTCGCGCTGCTTCTCTCTTTCTTGCTGCCTTTGCTGCTGAATCTGCTGCAGCTGCTGCTGCAGCTGCTGCTGCGTCAGCTGGGGATACCTGCGCAAGCTGCAGCTCCCTCTAATTGTATCTGCAAGGAGGTTAGAAGAGTAAAAGAAATAATGCGTACAGCCAGCAGCAGCAGCAGCAAGACACAAACGGCGGCAGGCAGCAGCAGAAGCAACACCTTCAGCAACAAACCCCACCTCCTCGCCCCCAGGATAGTCCACACCCGAACTTCCACACGCCTCCTCTGCAGCAGCAGCAGCAGCAGCAGCAGCAGCAGTGGGCAAGCCTGCGAGTTGTTGTTGGCTGGATATCCCTCAGCTTTTTGCTTCGAGCAGCAGTTGCTGCAGTGATCTGCTACTGCTGCTGCTGCGGCTGCCTGCACTCCGCTCCATGCCAAGTGTGCAGCAAGAGCAGCAGCAGCATCAGCAGCAGCAAAATCAGCAGCAGCAGCATTAGCACCAGAAGCAGCAGCAGCAGCAGCTTTACCTGGGCACGGGTTGTAGTCGGAATTGCCGCAGCGAGCGCAGCAAGGAAGGCCGCTGAGTTGGTTGGAGCAGAAGAAGAGACGGTCTCCTTCTGCAGCGGGAGTGTCGTGCTGCAGCACCTCTCTGGTGCTGCTGCTGTCGCTGCTGCTGCTGCTGCTGTCGCTGCTGCTGCTGCTGTTCTTGGGTCGGCAGAAGGGGTCGTACCTGCCGCCTCCCACTCCAAAGAGGCCCGCAATATCGCACAACTGGCTGCTGGCGCCTGCAAGAAGCGTAGCAGCAAAACAAAGCAGCAGCAGAAGCAGCAGCAGCAGCAGCAGCAGCAGTTGCTGCTGCAGTAGAGTGCCATGACTGATTACTCGAAGAAGCTTACGGGTCTCAGTGTCCTCTGCGTTTGCTTCGTCTACAGAGAATAAGCAGCAGCACAAGCAGCAGCAAGCAAGCAGCAGCACAAGCAGCAGCAAGCAAGCAGCAGCACAAGCAGCAGCAGCACCAGCAGCAAACTCACATGTGTCTTCAGGAAGCAACGGAGGAGCAGGGAGATGCCGCCCGACGGGACAGTGAAGAGGGCCCCCCACGAACAGCAGCCACCGCCGCTGGCTGTTGGAGACAGGCAGTGCTGGCGCAGCAGACTGCAGCAGATGGCAGGAGCTCTGCAGCAGCAGCAGCAGCAGCAGCAGCAGAAGTACCGGTAGCAGCAACAGCAACAGCAACAGAAGCAGCAACGACAGCAACGTCACAGCAGGTGATTGCTGGAGCTTAAAAGAAGACACACAGCAGCAGCACCTACTGCAGCAGCAGCAGCAGCAGCAGCAGCACCAGCACCAGCAGCAGCAGCAGAAGGGCAATGACCTGCAGTCCTTGTGGCATTAGTTTGTTGGTAACGAGAAGAAAGTGAGTGCAGCGGGGAGCAGCAGCAAGACAGAGTTTGCGGCAGGCAGCAGCAGAAGAGACTCCGAAGGGGACAGCAGCAAACACCTGCCCAACTCCAAGGCGGACCCCTCGCCACATACACCGTGCATCTTCTTCTTCTTCTGCAGCAGCAGCAGCAACAGCAGCAGCAGCAACAGCAGCAGCAGCAACAGCAACAGCAGCAGCAACAGCAGCAACAGCAGCAGCAACAGCAGCAAACCAGAAGCAACAGGAGCACAAACAGCAGCCACGGCAGCAGATACGGCAGCAGCAGCAGCAGCAATATCAGCAACAGATAAAATAACAGCGGCAGCAACAGCAGCAGCAGCAACAGCAACAGCAACAGCAGCAGCTTCAGAAGATGCGCGCACACCTGCTAGAGCCATCCTGAGGGGCTCCACGTGCTACGAAAGATCACAAAGCCGCTGCAGCAACAGCAGCAGCAACAGCAGCAGCAGCAACGGGGCCTCACCTTCGTAGTGTGGGTCAGAGGCCAAAGTGGCCGAGAGGCCTTCAAGCGCATGCAGCAAAAAAGGTCTGCTAATGGGGTGGGGACTCTCAGAGTTTGCTGCTGCAGCGAGCAGCAGCAGCAACAGCAGCAGCACAAAAAGCAGCTGGAGCAGCAAGGGTATATTCAGAAACAGCCTGGAAGGTGTGTGCAGGCAGAGCTGCTGCTGCAACGCAAAACGTCGCTGCTGCTGCTGCTGCTGCTGCTGCCGCTGCGGCTGCTGCTGCTGCTGCTGCTGCTGCTGCTGCGGCTGCTTTTGCTGTGGTTGATGGTGCTGCAGCTGCTGCTGCAGCAAGAAACCTCCCATCCTCAAACAACGCTGAATTAGAGGAGAGACAACAAAGACAAGGAGACGGAGTTTGCTGCAGCTGCAGCATGAGCTGGACTTGAAGGCGAAGTGTCTGTACACCTCAACACCACAGGCTCAAACATATGAGATCTGCTTTGTATTGGCTAGGGTTTAGGGTTTAGGGTCTAGGGTTTAGGGTTTAGGGATTGGTATCTACATTCCAGTGTTTAGGGTTCTAGGTATAGGGTTTAGGGTTTCGGGTTCAGGGTTTCGGGTTTAGGGTTTGTAGCTTAGAGTTCATTGTTTAGGGTTTAGGGTTTAGGGTTTAGGGTCTAGGGATTAGGGTTTAGGGTTTAGGGTTTAGGGTTTAGGCCCCAAGTGACCCTACACCGCGAACGCAGCTAGCGAGAGACCGTCGGCTTCTGCTGCAGCAGCTGCAGCAGCAGCAGTTGCTGCTCTTTCAGGCTGTTACTTGAGCTGGAGTTGTCTCGTCCGAGCAGCAGCAACAACAGCAGCAGCAACAGCAGCAGCAGGCGGCGAGGAGGGGCCCCTGGGATCGGCTGGCGTGCGCTGGAGCGACAGGCAACGATACTGCTGCAGAGCTGCAGCAGCAGCAGCAGTAGCAGCAGCAGCAGCAGCAAACGAGTTTTAAAAATCAATTTCTTTCAGTGCCTTCAACAACTCACTCGTTTTGCTGCTGCTACACATGGGGCCCCCAGAGCAGCTGGAGAGACAGCCGAGGGCCCCAGGATCATCGCAGCAGCAGCAGCAGCAGCAGCAGCAGCAACAGAAGTTTCCACTGCATTTGTTGAGATCGTTGCAGCAGTACTTCTTGTATTTTTAATTTCATTTGAAAGGAGTCGGCTTCAGACCCAGTTCCATCTTGCTGCAGCAGCAGCAACGCCACTGTCCGCTGTGTTGCTGCTGTTTCTGCTGCAGCAGCAGCAGCAGCAGCAGCAAGAGCCCACACGCCTCACAGCCTCGCGTTTAACTTCTTACAATCCATGCCCTTCAGACCTCCCGCTGCGGGAACGGCGAAGCGCAGCAGCTGCAACTGCTGCTGCTGCCGCCGCCGCAGCAGCAGCAGGAGCAGCAGCAGCAGCTGCCGCTGCTCCTGCTGCTGGTAAAGAGCCCTTTTCGCGCTTCGGAGGTTGGCTGCAGCAGATTGTGGTGCTGCTGCTGCTGCCTCTGTAGATAGGTAATTTGCTGCTCCCATGGCGGGGGAAGACCTTCAGCAGCAGCAGCAGCATATGCTGCAACAGCAGCTGCAGCTGCAGCAGCAGCTGCAGCTGCAACAGCAGCTTCAGCAGCAGCAGCAGATACAGCAGCTGCACCTCCAGCAGCGGTTAAACACCTTCCAGCAGCCACAGCCACAACCACAGCTGCCGCCCCCACCCCCTTCAAGGCAGCAACTGCAGCAGCAACAGCAGCAGCAGCAGCAAGGCCGACAGCCGCAGCAGCAGCATCCTCCGCATCGACCGCCTCCTTGGGGGAATCAGCAGCAACAGATGATGCAGCAGCAGCTGCAACAGCAGCAGTTACAACAGCAGCAAATGCAGCAGTTCACCGCAACTCCACAGACGTGGCAGCAGCAGCAGCTGCTGCTGCAGCAGCAGATGGGGCTTCCACTCCAGCATCAGCAGCATCAGCAGCAGCATCAACAGCATCCACAGCTGCAACGCAGGCTGCAGGGACGTGATGTTGCTTATCAGCAGCAGCAAGAGCAGCAGCAGCAGCATCAACAACAGCAGCAGCAGCTGCTGCTGCTCCAACAGCGGCAGCTACACCGACAGCAGAGCGCCGCGCTGCCCATTGATATGCACATCGGAACCGCAACATCAGGAGGAGCAGCAGCAGCATCTTCAGCCCCTGCTGCTGCTCACCCGCAGCAACTGCAGCAGCAGCAGCCGCAGCAGCACCAGCAGAAGCTTTCCAATGCACCGCTTCTCCCCCCAGGGCTGCCCGGGCTTCAGCAGCAGCTGCAGCAACGGGTGCAGCAACAGCTGCAGCAGCAGCAGCAACAGCTGCAGCAACAGCTGCAGCAGCAGCAGCAGCAGCGCCAGCAGCAGGCTTCTCTGGAGCAGCAGCAGCGGAAGGCGCTGCAGCAGCAGCAGATCCTCTTCGTTGGCGCTCCACCGGGTCTCCTTCAAGTTGCTGAACCTCGATATACACCGCAACTGCAGCAGCAGCAGCAACTGCAGCAGCAGCAGCAATTGCAGCAACAGCAGCAACTGCAGCATCAAGCCCTTTCTGGAGGCCCTTCGGCGATAGAGAAGCCGGCAGCTGCGGATGCTGCAGGCGCCTATACACCTTTTACACTGCAGCAGCAGCAAACGATGGAGCCTCAACAGCAGCAGCAGCAGCAACTGCAGCAGCAACAGCAGCAGCAGGACTCTAGCCGCGCTCCCCCATGGCAGAGGCCACAGGAAAGACAGCCTTCCCTGCAGCAGCAACTGCAGCAGCAACAGCAGCTGCGAGGAGGTGGAAGAGGACGCTCGCTTCAGCAGCAACTGCAGCAGCAGGCGCAGCAGCAGCAGCAGCAGCAGCAGCCCTACCCCAAAGGCAACTTCCTGACCGGCCCCATAGCCACAGATGGTTCTGCGTTGCTGCGGCTTCCGGAGGGGAGAGGTATACAGCAGCAGCAGCAGCAGCAACAGCAGCAAGGACAGCCTCGGGCGCAGCAGCTGCAGCACCAGTTGCTGCAACAACAGCAACTGCAGCAGCAGCTGCAGCAACAGCAAGTGCGTCAGCAGCAACACTTGCAGCAGCAGATGCAGCAACAACAGATTCAGCAATACCAAGAAGAGCCGAAGCAACCAGCAGCAGCAAAGGAGCAGCTCCTGCTGCTGCAGCAGCAGATGCCACCGGGGCTACTGCATGTACCTCAAGGAGGTCTTCACGTGGAAGGAGGCACTCCGCAACAGCGGCAGCAGCAGCAGCAGCAGCAGCAGCAGCTGGAGAAGCAGCCACCCAGAGACAGCAGCAGCAGCAGCAGCAGCCGAAGCCGCAGGAGCGCCTGCAGCGTGCTAGTCGCTGCTGTGCATTATTTGCTGCCGCTGCTGCTGCAGCAGAACCCTCAAGTGCAGCAAGATGGGCTGGAGCAGCTGCTTTCCTTGTTGTCTTATGCTGCTAGACAGCGAGTCATGCCATTCAAAAACCAGCAGCAGCAGCAGCAGCAGCAGCGGGGCCAGAAGCAGCAGCAGCAGCAGCAAGTGGATCTGGATGCTTGTGCAGAATTAACAGAGGAGCTGCGCGAGGTGTATGTACACCTTCTGGCTTCTGCTCTCCTTACACATAAAGACGCAAAGATTAGATTAGCAGCAGCACGGCTGTGGGTTGTTGCTGCTGCCGTCGCCTCCCAACTTCGCGCTGCTGCTGACCGTGTGCTGCAGCAGCAGCAGCAGAAGCAGCAGCAGCAGCAGGAAGCAGCAAGCTCCTTGAAGCAGCGTTGTGAAGCCCTCATGCGGGTCGCCGCCGTTGGCCTCTCCTATCTGACCTGTACGTACACCGCAGTGCTGTTGCTGCTGCTGCTTCTCTTTGCTGCTTCTCCGTGGGCACTAGTAGCAGCAGCAACAACTCCGCCAGCAGCAGACTGAGACAAGCAAGCTGCAACACCCGTGGCAGCAGCAGCTGCGGCAGCAGCAGCCCCAGCCACAGCAGTAGCCGTAGCAGCGCTAGCACCAGCAACAGCAACAGTAATAGAAGCAACAGTTGATGCAGCAGCAGCAGCTGCTGCTGCAGCAAGATCTGCTTGCTAGTTGTCTGGCAGCGCCTCAAAGCAAATTTGTGTGTGTGTGTGTGTGTGCGTGTGTGTCTGTTTCTGCTGCTGCCTCTGCTGCTGCTGCTGCTGCTGCTGCTTCTCCTGCAGCTGACGGTTGCATTTCTGTGAGGGTCGGGGCTTTGCGCGGCTTGCTGCTGCTAGCTGCTGCTGATGTGCTGCAGGAGGAGGAGACAGTCTCCGCGCTGCAGCGGGACAGCTTCCCTCCTGCTGCTGCCCACCCCCTGGTGTCTCTGCAGCGGCAATCATTTGCGCTTTGTGCTGCTGCCTCCCCTCGGCAGGTTGCAGCAGCAGCAACAGCAGCAGCAGCAGCAGCAGCAGCAGCGGGGAACCCATCTGCAGGTTCTCCCATGGCGGCTGCAGCAGCTGCGGTGGAGGCACAGGAGCAGCAGGAGCAGCAGGAGCTGCAGCAACTCGGAGCCCGTCAGCTGCAGCACATCTTTAGGCTGCCCATTTGCTGCGGGTTTTTGCTGCTGTGTCTGGACGACCAAGCAGAGCCCGTAAGGGTAGCAGCAGCAGAGTTGCTGCTGCTGCTGCTGCACGGGTTGCGGCAGCGTTCTAGCTGCAGCAAGTTGTCTTTGCTGCTGCAGTCGCTGCTGTGGGATCTAATAGGAGACCCTTCGTTGCAGGTGCAGCGGCTTGTTGCTGCTGCTGCAGTAGAGCTCTCTCAGTTGTCTCCTCTGCGGGATGGGGCCTTGAGGCGGGCTGTCTCTCCTTTGCTGCACGAGCGCAGCAAAGCAACTCGGCTGCTGCTGCTGCAGATGCTGAGTTGCTGCAAGGCTCGCAACGCAAAGGCGGCGAAGGCGGCGCTGCAGGGGCTGCTGCTCCTGCTGCCTGGCCCCCCAAACACCAGCAGCAGCAGCAGCAGTGGGAGCAGCAACGACGCCGCTGCAAGCACTGTCTCCTGTATAGCTTACCTTGCACAGAGATATGCAGCAGCAGAGAGACAAGAGACATTTAGAGTTTTATCAGATCCTCACTGCCGCTCTGCTGTACGATTAGGGCTCCAGCAGCCTCTTACATTGAGGGAGGCTTTGCTGCGGCTCTTCATATGTGCTGCTCCCAGCCCCGCGGCACTGCAGCAAGTCATCGCAGCAGCAGCAGCAGCGGCGGATGCTGCTGCTGCGCTAACGGGAGACACAACACTCACAAAACGATGCAGCAGCAACAGGCGCAGCACAGCTCTCCTGCCCTCCAGTCAGGCACTGCAGCAGCAGCAGCAACAGCAGCAGCAGCTGCTGCAGCAACTGCAGCAGGAGCTGCTGCTTCAGCTAGAGTCCCTCGGGTGTCTTGAGGCTGCTCGTGTGGCATGGGGGGCTCGTGCTGCTGCTACGTTTCCATTGGATGTGCAGCAGCAGCAGCTGCTACTGCTGCTGCGGTTCCCAGCGCTAGAAGGACTGCAGCAAAGCCTCAGCCTCATCGCCTTAACAATCACAGCTCAAGGAGGGCTGCTGGCTAGAGCAGAGCACTTGCGCCGCGGGTTCCACACCCAGCAGCAGCAGCAGCAGCAGCACTTACAGCAGCAGCAGCAGCACGGCCGTTTGTTTCCTTACCTGAACACTAGTGCTGGCTGGGGTTCTACCCCTCCACCGTTTCTACCTGTGCCAAGACCTACTAGCCGCAGCAGCAGCAGCAGCAGCAGCAGACCCAGCAGCAGCAGCAGCAGCAGCAGCATGGGAGACGAAGGCAGCAGCAGCAGCAGCAGCAACGGCAACGGCGCGGACGTTGAAAGCAGCAAGTCTGCCTGTAGGGATTTGTTAGCCCTGGCTGAGACGCTGTGGCCTTTAATGGGGACTCCGAGTTGCTGCTGCAGCAGCAGCAGCAGCAGCAGCTCGGGGTGCAGCAAGGATTGCAGCATCTGCAATGGGGAGTGGCTGTGCAGCCCAGAGGCCTGGTTGCTGCTGCACCAGGATATTCCTTGCCGGTACACTGCGCTGCTGCAGTCTCTTCGTGCTGCTGCTGCTACGTGTAGGGGCAGCGCCATTGCTGCCAGCGGCAACAGCAGCAGCAGCAGCAGCAGCAGCAGCGACAGGCATCGGCCCCTGTGGATTACGCGCCCGTTGTTAGATGCGCTGGGGCTTTTCCCTGAGACTGCTGTGATGTACGCCGAGCAGCAGCAGAAGCAGAAGCAGCAGCAGCAGCAGCCAGCTGCTGCAGATGTCCTCGGCAAACGAAAGGCAGGATGGAGTGGGGAAGCACAAAGAGCTGCTACAGCGGAGCAGCAGCATCAGCAGCAGCAGCAGCAGCCGCAGCGGAAGCGGCAATGCCTACCTGCAGCTGCAAATACAGTAACAGCAGCAGCGGCAATGTCAGCACCACAAGAGGACCCTAGCAGCTCCAGCCTTGCTGCTCCTGCTGCTGCTGCTGCTGCTGCTGCTGCTGCCCTAAGGCAGGCTGTCGAGAGGCGGCGAGGCAGCTCAGCTGCTGTACATTGGGCTCCAGCAGAACCGGAGCTGGCTGCTGTGTGGCTGCTGCAGCAGCTGCATGCTGCAGCAACTCCTGCAGCAGCAGCTGCTGCTGCTGATTTAGCTGCTCCCGTTGCACTGCATGTTCGCCGGGGGGCTGCATGCGCTGCAGACGATGAGGATGATGGCAGCGCAGCAGCAGCAGAAGGCAGCAGCAGCAGCAGCAGCAGCAGCCGCACGGGTCTCCCAGCAGCAACTCCAACGCAGCTTGACTGCCGGCCTCCTCGTGTGAGGCTTCTGCTGCGGCTGATGCAGCCACGTGCTGCACTTCGTGCTGCAGCGCGCCTGTCAGCTGCAGCAACGCTGCTGCAGCTGGACGGCGTTGCTGCATCAGGGCAGCGGCAGAAGCAGCAGCAGCAGCTGCTGCTGCAGCGCTCCTTAACCGAGGGACCGTTCAAGAACCGCCCGGCCTCTGGCGCTGCTGTTGGGGGTACAGCAGCAGAAGCAGCAGCGGCAGCAGCAGCAGCAGTCGCAACAGCAGCCAACGTTGCAGCAGCAGCAGCAGCAGCAGAGGATGTGGCGCCTCACCACGTAGCAGCAGTTGGGGCGAGGCTGCAGGCTACTGCAGCAAACGCGCTGCTGCATGCAGAACACTTGCCGCTGCAAGCAGGGTCTCTTCTCCCTCATTGGCAGCTGCTGCTGCTGCTGCCGCAGCAGCAGCAGCAGCAACACCTCGACCGTATGGTGACTGCAACAGCGCTGCCTCCCCCACCAGCGCTGCTGCAGCAAGCAGCGTCTTCTGCTGCTGCTCCAAGCGCTGCTGCTCTTAGTGCTTGCAGCCTCCAGAAGCAGAAGCAGCAGCAACAGCAACAGCAGCAGCAGCAGCAGAACCGAAGACGCATAAAACTAGTTGGGTCGGGCTGGCGAGCGGAGCTAGCAGCAACAATGGTTGCTGCTGCAAGCAGCGACAGCGGATCTGCTGCGTTGCTGCCAGCAGCAGCAGCAGCTGCTGCTGCTGCAGATCGTGTCGCTGGCTGTGTTGCTGACGACGGCAGCAGCAGCTTAGTGGGCCGCTGCTGCTTAGAGATGCAGCCGCGACCCTTTGCATTCTGCTGCAGCGGGGGCTCTGCAATGCTGCTGCAGGTTTCAGTTTGCATGCAGCTGCCGCAGCAGCAGCAGCAGCAGCAGCAGCTGGAGTCGCTCTTTGTCTGCGTCCACCACGCCGCTCCACTGTCCCTCCCATCTGCTGCTGTGGAGCCCCCAGCAGCAGCAGCAACAGCAGCAACAGCAGCAGCAGCAGCAGCTCAGCCTTGTGGGCTGCTGGAGGCAGTAAAGGCAGGGTCTCACCAGAGCCTTCTCTCCGCTGTTTCCTTCAGACGCAGGCCTTCCGCAGCAGCAGCAGCAGCTGCTGCTGCCGCTCCTGCTGCTGCTGCTGCTGCTGCTGCTGCTACAAATCATGTGAGGGGACACGAGTTGCTGATGTCTCTTTTGTTGTTGTTGCTGCTGTTGCTGCTGCTTCCGTTTCCTGCCTTCAGTTCAACGCATTTTGCGTTTCTACTGTTGCTGCTGTTGCTACTGCTGCTGTTATTGCTGCTGCTGCTGTTGCTGCTGCTGCTGCTATCATGGCCCTGACCTGTTCTCGTTCGTCTGCTTCTGCTTCGGTGCAGCACGGAGACTGTCTCTTCCCTTTCCTTCCAAGCAAGAGACGGCGAACAGCGCGCAGCAGCAGCTCCAGCAGCATCAGCTACAGCAGCAGCAGCTATAGCAGCAGCACCAGCAGCAGCAGCAGCAGCAAAGCACAGTGTTTCTTATACTCTATCCCCGTAGACAGCTGGAAGAGACGGATTAAACGCCCGCCGCTGCTGCCGGTGGCGGAGGCAATAGCGGAGCGCTGCAGAAGCAGCAACAGCAGCAGCAGCAGCAGCAGCAGCGAAGGCGCTACAGCAGCAGCGGCAGCAGCAGCAGCTGCTGCTCGTGTGTCTTCTCACGGCAGAAGAGACTTGGAGGCTGTTGTCAGCATCCCTGTGGGATTTGCAGGGCCTACTTCTGGCGGCCTGCCAAGTGAGCTTTGCTGCTGCTGCTGCTGCTGCTGCTGCTGATGATGATGATGATGATGATGATGATGACGATGATGATGATGATGATGATGATGATGATGTTCTGCTGCCAGTGCAACGAAATCTTTTGCCTGCTGCTGCTGCGTGTGCTGCAGTTGAAGTCGCTGTGTGTTGCCTGGAGAGGCCCCCAGGAGGGGAAGCCCCTGAACTTGTGAGGCGCTGGCTGCTGCTGTTGCTGCTGCTGCTGCTGCTGCTGCTGCTGCTGCTCTTGCATCGGCTGCTGCTGCTGCTGATATCGTTCGTGGCTACATTTGCGTTGCTGTTGTTGCTGCTGCTGCTGCAAATGTATGCGGCGGGCAGAGGTGCTGCTGGCTTGTGCTTCAGCCCAGCAGGTTAGCCTGGTTTTCTGCTGCTGCTGTTGCTATTGCTGCTACTGTTGCTGCTGCTGCTGTTGCTGCTTCAGGTGTTTCTCTCTCCAGTGCGGCGCGTGTGGGTCCGCCCCTCAAGCACCGCGTAGGTGCTGGCTTTGCTGCAGCACCTTCGTGTTGCTGCTGCAGTATCACTTGTGCAGCAGCAGAATATCTGCTGCTGCTGCAGCGTCCCTTGCGCTGCAGCAGACTCAGCGCAGCAGCATTTGTAGGGTCTCTTCTGCTGTCGGTCGGTATACTGCGCAGCAACAAGGCTCTTCTGCTGCAGCAGAGTTGCGGCAGCAGCGTTGTTGCGACAGAGTTGCTGCAGAGGTGCTGCAGAGTTGCTGCAGCAGAGTTGCTGCAGCAGCCTCCCACTTTAAGTTTAGTTTGGCTTTCGCCATGCCAGCTGCCTAGAGGCAGCAGCGTGAACAGCAGCAGCAGCAGCAGCACGCCGCATGCAGCAGCAGCTGCTGCTGCTGCAACAATAACAACAGCAGCAGGCGCTCGTGGAAGCTTTTTGTTTTTTGCTGCACCTGTAGACTGCAGCCTGAGACAAGCATGAGTTAGAGCAGCAGAAGCAGGTGCTAGAGCAGTACCTCCAGCAGAAGCAGAAGTAGCTGCTAGAGCAGCAGCTGCTGCAGCAGCAGAAGTAGCTGCTAGAGCAGCACCTGCTGCAGCAGCAGAAGTATCTGCTAGAGCAGCAGCTGCTGCAGCAGCCGAGCCTGTACGATACGAGGGTGCTGCAATGACACGGCCAAGAGGCGTCTGAAGGCTAAATACAAAAACACAAATATCGCTGGCTAGCTGCTACGCTTGTAGCTAGCTGCTGCAGCTTCTAGCTAGCTGTTGCCGGGCTACCTAGCTGCTACGAAGCCAGCTAGCTGCTACGAAGCTAGCTAGCTGCTGTGAAGCTGGCTAGCTGCTGTTGAGCTAGCTAGCTGCTGCAGTTCGAGGTACCTGCTACGGTTCTAGCTAGCTGCTGTTGGGCTAGCTAGCTGCTGTTGAGCTAGCTAGCTGCTGTTGAGCTAGCTAGCTGCTGAGGCCCGTCCACTTCGCTTCTTGGTTGGTGTTTATCTTCGTTTCTCTTTGTTTCTGTCTCTCTCTTTTGTTTATTTATGCTGCTGTCTCTGTCTTTGTGTTTGTCTCTGTTGATTTTATTTTGTTTATTTTCGTCTCTCTTTGCTGCTACCTCTGCATTATTTAGTTTGTTTATTGTGCTTGTCTGTTATTTATCTTATTTGTGCTGCTGTGTCTCTTCGTCTTATCTGATTTTATTGATTTACATTTGTTTGTTTATTTGTTTGTTTATCTTTGTTTATTTCTGTCTTTGTTTATTTCTTTATTTTTGTCGGTGTGTTTATATCTGTCTCTCTTTGTCTTTATTTATTTATTTATTTATTTATTTATTTATCTCTGCATCATATTCATCTGTCTCTTCACCTCTTTATTTATTTATTTTAAATTTTTTTGTTTATATTTATATTTATTTTTATTTATTTGTCTTTGTTTGTCTCCTCTGTCTTCGTCTAAGCTGTTTTTCATCTCTGTTATTTCGGTGCATTTGTTTGCTGCTGCTGCTGCTGCTGCTACTGCTGCTGTCTCCTTTTGCTGCCTCCTTTGTCTCTGCCTCTGCTGTAATAAGCCTTCGCAGCAGCACATAATAATAAGCTACAACAGTACAAGCAGCAGCAGCAGCAGAAGCAATTCTTCTTCGTTTCTGCTGCCTGTGTCTGCTGCAAGCATAGCCTGTAAAAAGCCTCAGACCCACCCAAAAAATTTGCAGAAGGAACAGCAGCAGCAGCAGCAGCAACAGCAGCAGCAGCAGTAGCAGTGGCAGCAGCTGTGCTGCAGCAGCAGCAGCAACGGCAGGAAGAACAGCAGCAAACACAGCCGCCCTTGCTGAAGTTTTTATTGCTGCTTAGGGTATAAAACACTGCAGCGCCGCGAGCAGCATCAGCAACAGCAGCAGCAGCAGCAGAGAAATGCATCAAAGACAAAACTGGCAGTAACGCTACATGCGGCTGCTGCTGCTGTTACTGCTGCAGCTGCTGCTGTTACTGCTGCTGCTGTTGCTGTTGCAGTTGTTGAAATATTCTAAAACATTAGAAGCAGCAACAAAGACTAAATTTCTAACATCATTACTGGGTATTTCTTGCTGCTGCTGCAGCCGACAGCAGCAGCAGCAGCACGCTCTGCTGCTGCCGGCGGCCCCAGCTTGGTAGCACAGCAGCAGCAGCAGCAGCAGCAGCAGCTGCTGCTGCTGCTGCTGCTCGTACGTAGAGCGGCGCCGTTATTTT